GGGTGGATTCTTGATAATTTAAAGTATTTAAATCAAGTCTGGAAGCTTCTCATAAAGGCCTTCTCATCTCTCCAACAGTGGTTATGGACCTGGTGCTGAATTAATTAAGAGAGATTCTCTGACAGATCTGCCTTGGCTCAGGCACCTTCTACAGTGATGCCTGGATTCTTTTCATTCTTCCACATCCCCAACAGAGAGAGGGCTGCAAAATAGTCCTTCCAAGATAACCAGACAAGTGTGAGGGACAGAAGGTGAAGGCTGATGTGAGCAGATGTTAATGCTGCAGGTGAAGAGGGCTCCAAGAGAGCTGGAGAGGGACTTTGGAGAAGGGCAGGGAGTGACAGGACAAGGGGGAAGGGCTTCAAACTGACAGAGGGCAGGGTTAGATGGGACATTGGGAAGGAATTCTTCCCTGTGAGGGTGGGGAGGCCCGGGCACAGGTTGCCCAGAGAAACTGTGGCTGCCCCTGGATCCCTGGAAGTGTCCTAGGACAGGTTGGATGGGGCTTGGAGCAATGTGGTCTAAGGAGGGTGTCCCTGCCCATGATAGGGGGTGGAACAAGATGAGTTTTAAGGTCCCTTCCAACCCAAACCATTCTATGGGATTTTGGCTAAGGGTCCACACACAGGACCATAGAGCTTCCTCTGTGTGAATTCCAATAGCAAATGTTCCTGTAGAGCTGCTGATCTCTTATACTAAATGCAAACCTACAGAGGGATGACCTTGCTCTTCTGGGTCAAGGATACCCCAGGAACAGCCTCTGGACCTGAAAGATGTGATGTCCACAGGTGGAAAAGCAATGTTGTATGAAGAGGACTATAATGGCCCATACATTGCCCATACATTTAGAGGATTCATATTAAAGACCTGAAATGTGAAACTTGCTGAACATATTGTTTCAGGATCCCCAAATCCCTTCCCTTCCAATTAAAGCCCTCTATGTCCCTGATCTCTCTGCAAGTAATTGGTTTCTAAAAAAGAAGATGCTTAGTGCTGTGAGTGATACTGGTGCACAGGCAAAAGGGCTTTGTAAGTAGCAGAATCATGGAATCACAGAATCATTAGGGTTGGAAAAGACCTTCAGGATCATCACGTCCAACCTTCTAGAATTCTAGTCCATACAGAAATGAGATTTCCTACTCATTTTGTACCTAAATCCAACTCATAGAATTTTTGTACTTGTGTGTCTTTTCTTTGCAAAGAGGAAGTGTGAGAGAAAGCAGGAAGGGTCTCATAGGTGAATTATGAAAGAACAAGTCATTTCCCATTATTTATCATTAACAAGCTTCTTGTCTGTCCTTATTTCATGCCCAAATCTCTATGATCCAGCTGTTGAGCATCCATTTGTGCCTGTGACTTTGACATCCGCCACAAGCTTGAAAATATTTGGGTTAGGACTCCCAGATTTTCCTTGATTAAGATAATATTTCACTGAAAAAAAATTGATATGAATCTCAGTCATCAATGTCCTGAGTAAGGGACTATCAGCCCTTACACACAAATCCTTCAGAGCTACCAGCATCTTTACTGTAGCTCCGTTGATTTCCCTGGAGTTACCCGAAATATAAATATGATTCCAAAGTATTGATGAATGGGTTGGATCAGGAAAGTCTCTGTAGGCCTGGAAAATATTACCTCTCTGTCCTGGATTGCATTTCCACTTGTACAGGTATGATTTCAGAGGAGCAGCACCGAGTCAGATTTATACCTGAGTTACATGGGCACAAGCAAGGGAAGGTTTGGACAAACTGTGTCTAAAGCTCTGATGGATTTGAGAACCTCCTCCAGAAGCTTAGGTAGCTTTTCTTTCTATCCTTAGCAACACAGTCCTGATTAACCCTCCGAGCCGTGGTCAGTCATTTTGAGGACAGTTTGATTGACAGCAGATAATTAATTAACCTGCTCACGCTTTTCCCTGCCTTGTACAGTGAGTTTGATCCTGTAGGTGCCTGGTTGGAAGTGTCGCCTTTTCTTTTTTTTAATTAATATTTTGTTGATTTGTTTTTAATCTCTTGGATATTCTGTAAGAAAAACCCACCTTGAGCAAGAAGGATGAAGTGTTTCAATGTAAGTACAAAAATATGCATTGAGACTCCCCTTATTTGTCTATTAAAAGATGTATTTGGGCAAGATGGGCATTTTTGTTGCCTTGGCTAATTAACAGTAGAATCCCTTTTCAATTCTGACACTTCAGATACATCATATTAAACTTCTCTGTGTGGGAACTGTTTATATTTCCTGCAAGGTTTTTGTGGAAGGTTCTTTATTGACATGATAAATCCAGATCTGATAGACCATCTAGCCTTGTGTGGGTAGCCAACTCTATCACCCAAAACATAAGTAATAATATTCCTTTACATTGCTGATCCCTTCCCAATCCTGTGAAATTATTATGAAAATTATTATTGGGAAAGTATGCTATGATTTGTCCTGTATTTATTTTTTTGGTACTTCTTACAATATGATTTAACAGCTCGAAAAATGCAGAATAAATCCTTGGGAAGGAGATTTCTATCAACATATTGTGGATCAGTTTGTCCAGTGACTACAATTTGGATAATGGGTTTGTTTGGAAATTATGCTGTTGGTGTCTGAAAGTTTTAATGTGGGACTTGTGCAGAAAAAGTTGACCCCACCTTTCTGAAAGGTGTTGAAAACTAGAGAAATGAGATATTTTTTCCCTGGAAGTGATGAGTTTGAGTGATGGATTGACCTTTAACTGGGAAATAAATAAGTGAATAATTGCTTGGTGAAATATGTGCGTGGAAAAAATAAATCATGCTGAAATCTTTTTGGTGTCCATGGATATAAAAGAAAAAAAAAGCAGGGATCTGTCAAAATAATAGTATTCCAAATGCTGCCTAATGTATTTTCCCATCTAGCCAAGGTTTAACTTCCATTTATTACAGGAGGGAATTTGCTGTAGTACAACATGCACCAATATTTCACTTCAAAGTTGCATAGTGAGAATATAAAGACTTTGTTCTAAAATATGAAGAAAATCAACATTTACATTTTTTTGAATGCTGCACCTCTGGAATCAGTGACAAAATACCCATTAATGACAGTGGGCACCAAACTGATCCTCCAAAGAATAATTTGTGAGTAGAATGACTATTGAAACTAGAACTTTATCCAGCTGCTGCAAGAGGGGTAACCAGGAGCAAACTGAAGGAAGCCTGTCATTATAAATACATTTATTGTGTTCTAACTCATTTGCAAACATTAAAAAATCTCCTTTCTTGTGAGAGATTTTTTAAAAGTTACCATGAAAAATGGATATCAAATAAGAACATAATTTGGGAAATAAATTGGATGCAGTTGTTTGTAGCCAGAACCACCTTCTGTCAGCTCCAATCCTACTGTATTCCTTACTCACAATTCCAATGGCTTCCTGTCTATCTGCGAGCAGAGAGATGATCAGAATGTGACATCCCTAAGTGTCATTTTTAAAGTCTCCATTTAAGTCCTAGTAATTAACTCAGAGTAAACTGTGGGATTAGCATCAGTTGGGCTTATTACAACCAATATTTTAGCAGTTGTAAATAATATCATTATTTTTTTTCCATGTCAAAATCAAGGTGTCTTCTTTTTTTCACATAGTAGTTCCATCTCATGTGAGGCCTGAATTTTTTAGTGATTGACTTCCAGGACAGTGCGTAAGAAAGAGTCCAGTCCCTTCTCCACTTGCCTCCATCATGGCAAAGACTTTAAAAACACTTGTGTTCAAAAGTTGGGGTTCAACCAAACAGAAACAGCAAAGGCAGTTTGTCTTTAAAAGTGGAGGACACCAACTGTTCCAACACAAATTGGGCAGAACCTTCTCCTCTCCTCTGTGCTTACCAATTGCAAATTTTCCCTCTGTTTAGCAGAACCGAGTTTTTTAGGTCTATTTGAGGTCTTGTGATATTTCTTACAGTTATTTTTTCTGCATAACTGCTGTAAATTTTTCATGCAGAACTTACCTCGTGGCATGTCCACGTGCAGCTGTTCCAAAACCAGACTAACTCTGCCCCTCAGGAAGGTCAGGACTGGTTTGTGCTGCAAAGTGTAATCACTACATGAACAAATTCAGTTTTGGTTTGTTTTTTGTTATGCTCCAGTTCACGGGGTTAAAGGGTTGCATGAGAATCTCAGCTCTCTGCTTGTAAAAATAAAGCTGAAATAATCACTGGCTCTGATAATTTCGGAGAAAACCTCAAAAGTATAAGCAAGGAAGACACAAAACTCCGAAGGACAACAATACACGTCTTGTGGGTTTCTCCTGGGGTCTGACTCATGCTTTTTGTGCCTCGGGGGTGACTAACACTGGCTGGATTCTCACTGGCATCTGCAGGATAAGGGTGATTTGACTGTGAGGAACAGGGTTATGGCCTCTTCCTGCTGTGCTTCCTCATATCTACCTGGGCCATGACCACCATGTTGGTACAATGTGCTCTTGACCAAGCACAGGTAGTAAAATTGTCGTGAGGAACACAAACCTTGCTCCCGTGTTGGTCAGGCACTGATTCTGGTGAAGGGCCTTGAGGGGAAACTGTGTGAGGACACTGAGGGCACTTGGCGTGTTCAGCTGGAGAAGAGGAGACTGAGGGGAGAGCTCACTGCAGTTACAATTTCCTTGGGAGGGGAAGAGGAGGGGCAGGCACTGAGCTCTGCTCTGTGGGGACCAGAGACAGAACCCAGGGAATGGACTGGAGTTGTGTCAGGGGAGGTTTAAGTTGGGTATTAGAAATAGGTTCTTCTCCCAGAGGGTGGTTGGGCACTGACCAGGCTCCCCAGGGCAGTGGGCACAGCACCAAGGCTACCAGAGCTCAAGGAGTGTTTGGATGATACTTTCAGGCACATGGTGTGACTCTTGAGGATGGTCCTGTGCAAGGCTAAGGGTTGGACTTGATGATCCTTGTGAGTCCCTTCCAACTGAGCATATTCTGTGATTTTCTGTCTCAAACAAACCCTACTCTGTTCTTTCTTCTCTTTGCAGTTACCTTTAAGCAAGAGGGATGTCTCAGGTGCCTGCTGACCTCCTGTCAACCACCAGCTCCTACAACTATGAGCCGCCCCTTCCCTCCGTGGCTCGGGCGAGTGCTCTCACCCAGGTACCTCCGGCCAAAAAAATAACCTTCTTCAAGAGTGGAGACCCTCAGTTTGCAGGAGTCAAGATGGCCATCAACCAGCGGAGCTTCAAGAGCTTCAATGCTCTCATGGATGACCTCTCCCATCGGGTCCCTCTGCCGTTTGGGGTGCGGACCATCACCACCCCACGAGGAATACACTGCATCAGTGAGCTGGACCAGCTGGAGGATGGAGGGTGCTACCTGTGCTCCGACAAAAAATACGTGAAGCCCATCAGCATCACTCCCGGGGGACACAGGCCAGCCCCTCCACGACACGCTCGGCCCTCCAGCACCATGAGAAGAGCAGCGCAGGAGAGCAAGCTGGAAGATTATTCCACACCTTTCACTCACCACGGCCCCAGAATACCCAAGAAAATCACTCTAGTTAAGAACGGGGAAAGTGGCTTTCGGCGCTCAATTATCCTGAACCGCAGGAACGCCCGGAGTTTCAAAACCCTCCTGGATGAGATTACGGAGATCCTGCAGTTCCCAGTGAAGAAACTCTACACCATTGATGGGAAGAAGGTAAATATCTCTGATTCCTGGTGCTGATCAGTTATTCAAACATGTGTTACCACATCAACCTTTGCATTCGCTGGGATACAAATCCTTTAGCTCACGGGGGCAAGAGTTTATCCTTCGGGCCTTGTCTTGTTAATTACTTCCCCCTTAATTACACAGAAGTCTGATGTAGAAGAATCCTGTTCAGCCACTCAAGAATTTCATACAAAGTGTTGTTTTGGCTCAAAGGGAGGTTCAGATGCTCAATGTTTTGCAGCGGGTATAAAATTCTAAATAATCTTCCATTAGTGGAGTTTCCCATGTTTTCCTAGGAGGCACATCCCAAAAAAGGCTTAACTTCTCCATACCTGACCACTGGGAATTCAGCAGAGTAAGATGGCCCTTAGGTAGTCCCTTGTGGTTCCTCACACAACCCTCACAGTGTCCTGCTCATGATGTGGGATCTTCAACATTATGATAAGATAACTAATAAATGCATAATTAATTAGGGTATGAGCGGGATCAGGAGACTCATTTGTGATGATTTGGTGAATGTACCAGTTGGGGTGGACTCTTATAATAAAGTCAGGGCATGACAACTCCTTTGCTCTTCTCTTCCCAAAGGAATTTCCTAGCCAACCTGAGATTCTCCTGACTTCATCTCTTTGTAACATAGACTAACCTTTATTTCCATATTTCTGAAGAGGTCTCACATGTTATCTGGACTTGTCCCTGGCAATGCAGCTGAGTGGAGCAGTTATCCTACTCATTGCCACTTTTCCCATCCTTCCAGGGCTGTGTCCCAGCTCCTCAGTGGGAACAATACAACAATTTGTGGTGTCACTTTCTGAGCCAGGTGACTGAAATGATCCACTATCCAGGAGAGGAAAAAAATGGAGGAATATTTTTAGCCCAAATCACTTTGACCTGGCACAGGGACAGGAATGTGCAGTAGGAAGGAGAGAGGGAGGGGATAATGAGGTTTAATCCATCCTTCCTGGTGGAGGCAACGTGCCATATCACTGCTATGCTCCCCACTCTGGAAAGAGCTTCCTATTCTCAGTTGGAGGACCCAAGGAAAATGTCCTTCCCAAATATCCTGCTGCTATAGCTTTCCCAACTCTACTTGTCTAGAGGCTGAAAGAGTATCAGCCTGAGTTTGATGAGATGAAACCTCAAGGAAAGGATGGTGCTGCTCCACATGTGGCAGACAAGTGAAGCTGAAATATTGCTGAGGACCTGAGAGTTATAGAATCATAAAATATGCTGAGCTGGAAGGGACCCATCAGGATCGAGTCCAACTCCCAGCCCTGCACAGGACACCCCAAGAATCCCACCACATGCCTGAGAGTGTTGTCCAAATGCTTCTTGAACTCAGACAGGCTTGGAGCTGTGACAACTGCCCTAGGGAGCCCGTTCCAGTGCTCAGGATTTATGAGAAGGGGCACAGGAGCACAGGAAAAAACTCAGCTGTGGACAACCTAAGCATGGCCTGGGATAAACAAAATGGATACTTAATCTTAAATTTTTTGTCTTGCTTATGGACTTGTCTAAGTGCAAGATGAACAAGCTGACCAACCTACTGTAGGATTCATCTTTCCTGAGTGTGTCCAGAGCCTGTGTTTCTTCTAATAAGAGGAAAAAATGGTTTGATAATTGGATAGTAGACAAGATGAATCTTATGCCATAGACTGTTTCAGCAGGGTCTAGAGAGTAAGTCATTTAAGGAGTGGTTGAAGTAGCTGGAGTTGTTTAGTCTGGGGGAAAATAGGATCGGGGTGGACCTTCTCACTCCCTACAACTCCCTGACAGAAGGGTGGAGCAGAGGGAGGGGTCAGGCCCTGCTCCCAGGGAACAAGGGACAGGAAAAGAATGCACCAGCGGAGGTTCAAGTTGGACATCAGGAAGAATTCCTTCATGGAGAGGGTGGTCAGGCATTGGAAGGGGCTGCCCGGGGAGGTGGTGGAGTCCCCATCCCTGGAGGTGTCCAAGGAACGACTGGATGTGGCACTCAGTGCTCTGGGCTGGGTGACAAGGTGGGGATGGGTCACAGGTTGGACTGGATGGGCTTGGAGGTCTTTTCCAACCTAAATTATTCTGTGACATGAAAAGAAAGAAACAGGCACTTTAGACAGCAACTTTCCAAGTAAGTGTCCAAATGATTTTGGGTGTCTGGAGCTGGATTCATTTCAGGTTCAACTGCCTGAAAGGACACATCAGTGCCTCAATGCTCCCGTAAGTGAGGCTGAGCTCCCACAGAGCTGTTCAGACTAAGCTGACAGTCCACTGGGCTCAGAGCTGGCCAAAATAGATGTCTACAGGCCTTCAGAATCACTGAGGTTCTTTTTTCCCAGCTTCCATCACATTATTTGCAAGGTGAAGTTTGCTGTGTACCACAACTATACCACTAAATTAAAAGTGTTAGAGCAGGATTTCATTCTTGCCTCTCCATTCTGCTAAATTAACATCTTCCCTGATTTGGTCCAGAGTACCAGTCTCTAAATATTTTAGAATTAGGGCCTGGGACCATTCACTGCAGGTGGTTTGGATGTGCCCAGCCCATGTTTGAGCAGCCAAGCTCAAAAACCCAACCAAACCCAACCCTGCTAACAAGATGTCTTATAATCTATGGATTAGTATTTTAATTTGCCACTGATTTCTCCAGTTTTCAAGACTTGGACTGTTCAGTCCACATAACCATGAATAATCTTGTGTAGTGGTTGTAACTTTGCTTTTGAGAATTTTCACCTATTTCTCTAAAGAAAAGTTTTGCTTTCTACTTCTTAGCACAGTCAATGTTCTCTTTGTGATTCTTAAAATAATTTCCCACAATTTTCCTTCTAATCACTATGAACACTGATATTTTAAGTGGGATGTGTATTAAATACATACTCTATAAAAAGAATGTCTTCAATATTATTCAACCTTCCTCTTTCTTTTCATCTAAAGGCACTCAGATATCTTACATTTTCAGCTCTGCTGGTGGTCATCCTGTCTAAAGGTCTAATATTATATTATATTATATTATATAATCCTGGGATTATATTGTATAATCTTGGGATTTTTTTTTCTAATATGAAAGTTTTCCTGACTGTCTTGTCAGTAAGTGGTTGATCTTCTGTACCTTAATAATTTTATTTTCATTCCTTTTATTCCTTTTATATCTCAGTGATAGATAACCATGGGTCCAATCTGAGCCATGTAATCCTCTTATATATAGCCAGGAAATATGTGATTATTTTTATATTTCCTGAAGAACCTTTCACAGTGATTTTTTTGGCCATTCTTAATTTCAATCATTTACCTCCAGGTTTTTAACTCTTCATTTCTGTTCATTTAGTGGCCATTCTTATTAGGGCTTCCTGTTACTTTAGGCTTGGGTGCAAAGCATTTAAACCACCAAAAAAATTGTCACTCTATCCTGATTTTCCAATCTTTTCCTTTCATACAGATTCTCCAAACCATTTCTGCTCTTTTTCCAAGTTTTCCTGGCATATCTCACCTTTGAGACTTCAATATCAAGCTCCTGACACACAATTGGTTGTGTCTGAGTTTTCCCCAGATGTAACAGTTTCATTGAGGAGTGAAAACAGTGAATTTGATGCACAAATTTATGACATTTTCTGAAATAACCTCCTTCAACTGGTGCTGAGGTTCAATTTTAACTGTAAATCTTGCCATTATATTTCTATTTGCATCTGTTAGAGATGATGGAAACAACCCCTCCCCCCGTTCTTCCATGACTGTTGAAAGGTATCTGAGTGCTTCATATTTCTTGGGTATTTCCTTGTGTTTCTGGTATTATTCTCTTTGAATAATAATTCAAATAATTTTGTAAACTTCTTTTAATGCATGTCTATGTAATTAGGATTGAAGGGAACAATAACTTTTGACATTTATTCCCATGTTTTGAGAGATTAGCAGAATAAGACTCATTCCTAAGCACCTGGACTACTGTTGATTAACTTTGTCTGGCCTAGAATAACACGATTCAGAGCATTTAATAGCATTTTCACAATGTCTCTTTTGCTGCCATTTTTAACTTGATCTCTTGAAAACCAAACACACACACAAAAAAAGGGAAAAATCTCCTGTCCTACAGATGACTCAATCTATTCCATCGATGGAAGAGCTATTCATAGACTTCAGTGTGTCCTCTTCAATTCCCTTTTGTTTTCTCTTACTGAGATAATTCCAGATCTAAACTCAAATCTAAAATGAGTTAAATCTGTCCCAGTGGCTGTGCTTTAATATGCTCCATTTTAATATCTTTACCATTTTCTTGAGTAAATCCAGGGCACTTCAAAATTACAAGTCTTTATGAGGTTATAAATTTAGACACCCATGGAATAGACTTGCTGTTTCGTGTTCTTTTCGTGCCTTATTGATTTGAAAAAAGCAGAGAAAAGGGTTTTCTTGCTTTTGTAGTCTATCTAGTCCACAATTTTTCCCAGTAAACCTCTAAGTTTAATTTAATCAAAACTCACAGGCAAATCATCTTATCACTGGTAACCAGAGAGAAGAGATCAAGATCCATTAGAGACCAGCAGAGCTTCTTGCTTTGTGATCACTCTTATTTTGCTGTTATTTTGTACTTTCTTGCTCCCATTTTTCTGCCTATTTATCTCTCACATATATTCAAAACTGTACTTTTAAATTCCCAGGAAAGGTCAATGTTTACTGGGTGTTTCTCCTGTGGCCCCAATGATGGGACTCTCATTGCTCTTGGGCCAGAGAGTCTTTCAGTGCTATGAATTCAGAATTATCCTGTAATAATTCTGCAAAACTCAAGGCAGTAGAAATAGTGATCTAAAAGCCTCAATTCCCATGTTAGTATAAATCCAGAGTGGCTCTATTGATATTTACATATTTGCATTTTCATTTTAACTCCTGAAGCCTTGAGTGAGGTGAAACTAGTATTTTTAACCCTAAGAATCAAACAGACTTCCTACTAGGAAAGAAGGACTAGTCCCACTGCAGGGAATAGGTGTTTAAGTGTTTGGACACTCATTTCATCAAGGCAA